TACAATGACTAGACAAACCTGAAAGTCAAACTTCCCTGCACCGAGCTGTCCTGGAAAAAAAGGCATTGCATGACGGCTGGCTGCCCAGACGGCTAACACCAGAAGTGTGTCTTCAGGACCTGTGCCGGCGGGGTTTTCTCCCTCCCATTCTGTCATTGTCAGAGTCATATGGCTTAGGGGAAGCTGCCCTGCCCTTCACTCCAGGGGACTGGCCTTCCTTCTTGGAAGACAGAGATTACCACCAACAACAGCTGTGAAGAAACCCAACCCCCAGGGGACAAAGCCTCCCATCATTGGCTGAAGATGTGCCAGTGCTCCGAGATTCTGCATAGTCACCCAGTTTAGGGAAATGGACATTCGTGGCTGACTCATGGAGAACCCAGGCTCTTGTATAGAAAACAAATACTTAGAATCTGAGGGATACTTCCCTATATTGAACAAACACACACACGCAAGCAAACATACAGCACACACATATATAAAGGTGCTGTAGAAAGTTCATGAAAAAAATTCTATTATGTTTTGAATCTATTTTTCACAAACTTTTTCAAAACCCCTTGGAACCGATTGCAATAATCGACACAAACACACACACACACCCTCCAGGGAGAAAAACAACAGAAACCATGGGAGGAGACAGTGGTCAGTATAAGATATGAAGGTAATAATAATTTATAATTTATCAAGGGGTCAAGAGGCTCGGGGACAAGGGAGGGAAAAAAGAGGAGCTGATACCAAGGGTTCAACAGAAAGTAAATGTCTAGAAAAGAATGATGGAAACATATACAACTGTGCTTGATACAATCAATGTATGGATTGTTATAAGAGTTGTAAGAGCCCCCAATAAAATGATCTTTGAATAAAAAATTACTTCAAAACAGAAAAAAACCTCATGTATGAGTAAAACACCCCTCATATGAGTATACATACAAACACATACACATCAATTTTTATACACAAATGAACACACAATTATAAATATATAATACACACTTACGCACATGTACGTACCTGCACACTTACACTGGCAAACATATTCATGTGTATAAACATACAAAACTTAAATGCATATCATATACACATGTGGCACACACACTCAGATCCAATCAAGTGCACGCAGACAAACACATGCGCTCACACATATGTAGAACACACATTAACATGTAAAACCGTGACCAAACAATGCAGAGTAGTATAAAAGGCTCTCTGTTGTGGTCAGCAGAACTGGTAATCCATCTGAAATGGTCACTGATGGAGCCATTCCATTCCATCCACAAATCCCAGCTTGTGGCGGGGCAAACTCTAGGGGCTCTCTTTTTCTTAATTACATTTAAAAAATTGTGACGTGGGGGAAGGTTTATGGGGCAGATTAGGGTTTTTCAATCAACCCTTCACATCCATTTTGTTTCAGCGCATCTACTGCCATCACCCCCATTTGGCCCACTCCCTCTGGGGCGCCCTGCTTCCCTTTCTCCTTCTTTCCCAACCTTTCTCAACTGCCTTTGGGTGCATGTGGATTTTTGGATCTCCAATGGGTGCTTACTCAGGAACACTGCCTCCCAAGCCTTAGAGTTTCCCTTGTTGATCTATCCAATGTTGGGTTGAACTTTGAGCCTTGGGGGTGAGTTCATCTTCAGACCTAACGGGTGACTAAGAGCCAGCCATCATCTGGGAGTTCTACCCATCTGTACTCCACCAGTAAACCTAGTTTCTTTCTAGGTCTCTTCAGTTGAAAAAGCTATGCTTTCATTTCAGACAGATGGTATTGCCTGCTAGAATTCAGATCAGAGGCACGCCCTGGGCACGGATTCCTCAGTGAGACTACATGCACCGCAGCACCAGCCCCAGGAGGCTGGTGGAGCCATGCAGCGCCCTGGCCTGCCTCCCCACCCCCACAAGTGGGTTGTTCCATGTGTTGGTTAAAGAACTGGCCTTAGGAGCCAATGCAGCCAGGAGCCAGCATCTGAGCCTGAGTGGTTCTGGGAGAAATGAGAGGTGGTGTGTCCTGGGCTATTTCCCTCTCTGCTGGCAGCCTGCCACTGCTAGACGCCTCTCTGCCAATGAAGGTGGAAGCTATTTTTAAAAATTCTCCCGCTGTAGGGCATTTCCCTGGCCACACACCAGAACAGACCAGCTGTGTTCGTGTTCCAGACCCTGGTCTGGAAGCAGCTGCACCTTTGGCCAGTGGGCAGGTGTTTTGGCGTGCTTCTCATCAGCATGAGACCTGTGTTTCCATCATCAAGTCTGCCCTCGTCATAGGCACCCACAATAAAGCTGACAGCTCTGAACACAGACCCTGAAAGCAAGTTCCTTGCCCAGCTGCTGACCTCTCCCCCGAGGACCAGCCTCATCCAAGCTGTCCCTTTTGGCCACACTGGGCCGGCCCACAGCAGGTCTTCTGCAATCACCTGGGAAATGAGGAAGGAGAGCCCACTACTCCCCATTTTACATCCTCAAGGAAACAAAGATGCCCGCTGCTGTGTGCATTCAAACTAAAAATAGTGAACTGCAAACAGAGAGAGAAAAGAAGCAGCCCAATAAAATGTTGACCTTTTCTCCTTACGATGACTTTAATTGTAGTTGAAATACCAAATATAAGACTGTTCCAAATGGCTTTAACCTTCCCGGTTCCCCCAAACCTCCCTCTTTACTCCTCAGGCCCACAAGAGGTCAGATGGTGTGATCTTGTCCCTCCCACCGCCGGCAGAGCTGGGTAGACATCGTGGAGCTTTGCGGGGCAGCTTCAACCTGACTCCAGAGATCCCAAACCACCCTTCCCTTCCCTCCAATGCCCCCACCTCCCTTTCCCAGGAAGGTGTGCTGAGCTCGGGGGTCTTTACGCTTTATAATGATGCCTAGGAGGGGCTTCAGCATTTTAGGAGTTAAAAGAAACAAAACTTTTCATCAAACTGATTCTGACTCTTGGCAACTGCATGCATGTCAGAGTAGAACTTCATTCAGCAAGGGTTCCCGTGGCTGATTTTTCAAAAGGAGACTGTCAGGCCTTTCTTCCAAGGCATCTCCAGGGGAACTTGAACCTCCAGCCTTCCTGTTAGCACCCAAGTGGGCTGTTTGCACCACATAAGAAGATAGCTCAGGTGCTGTAATGCTTATGATAGGCTTCAGTTCACATGGTTGGCAGTTCAAAACCACCCGCAGCTCTGTGGGAGAAAGATTGGGATTTCTACACCCGTGAGCAGTTACAGTCTTGAGACCCCCAGGGGTCGTGTGGATCAGCACAGACCAGACAGCAGGGAGACAGCCTTCGTGCCTGTTACCACACGCATAGGCACCTTTTCCAGAGCCTGTGAATCTAAAGAAATTGCAGGGCTTTCCATTCACTCACCCTGCATTCCTCCCCCTTTCTGATAACAGAACACAACTCTGATAACTGCTCCTCCCTTATCCTTGTGCATCAGATAACTGACCTAGGGTCACGGGCCAGGATAATCAGTGCCCTGCCCCCCCAACCATTGTTTAGCACAGGACTGGCTTGTTTTTGCTGTGTTTCTGACTCATAGCAACACAGGGTGAGAAAGTAGAACTGCCTCTCTTTCCAGGAACAGATCGCTAGGTCTTTTCTCCTTGGAACACAGTGCCACCAGGACTCTCTCGGGCGGTTCATGATGCACACCAGTCTCTGGCTTCCAGTTAGCTGGCCACAAGCCACTCTTCTGAAGCAGGAGGGAATGAACCCAACAGGTGAGAGTTAAGATGCGAGATGGGGGTTACAATTATTCTCAAAAACAAAACAAAACCGACCCACTGTTGCCTAGACACTTCCAGATCCTAATGACCTCACGCAGCTCAGAGAACTGTGCCCCACAAGGCTTTCAATGGCTGTTTTTCCTAAGGTTGATCAACAGGCCTTTCTCCCAAAGCACATTTGGTTGGCCTCAAATTTCCAACCTTTCCGTTGGTTAATTGGGTGCTTAAAGGTTTATCTCCCTCAAGGAAGTGCCCAGAAAGTAAGGGGCAAGCGTGATTTAAATTCTCCTGCCATCTTTCTGAGGAGGCCTGGTGGAGTGATGATTTCACATTGGGTTGCTAACCATGTCAAACCACCAGCTGCCCCTCCAAGAAAGCTGAGGCTTCCCAGTCCCATGGAGTTAGCAAGTCACCAACAGCTCCTCTCACCTCTAACCTTAAAAACGAGATGCTACACACAAGGAAGCTCTTAGAAGGCAACGTGCAGCACCCTAGTCTTTGTTCGACCCTGTATCAGATGGCTCTGCTCATGAGGAGACCAGGTGAGCAAATCATAGATAAACCAAAGACTCAGGGAGAGGGCAGTATCACACTTTGCTTAGGGCCACCATATTGGATGCCCGCCGTGAGCACAGGCCAAAGTCAAGTCTTCCTCATTAAAAGGTCAAAAAGCCTGGAGTGAACGGGTTTGGATTCCAACCATTTGACTAACCTTATGGAGTCAGGTTATGAATGTCTGCTGCTACCCGTATGCCTGCCAGGACGGCCTTGCAGTTAAACGAAGTGAGGTCATGCATAATAAACCTCGGCATTTATTCACTTAAGTTTAACATGAAAGACCACAGGGAATGCCCCTTTTCTGTAGTTAGAACTAAAGAGCAAATTGGTTGGGATCTTCTGGAACATCACTCTCAAACTTAGCAATAAGTAACTCACCACCATCTCGTCAACTCTGACTCCTGGTAACCCAACAGGGCACAGTACAACACTGCCTCTGTGAGCTCCTGAGACTATACATCTTTATCAGAGTAGAGAGCCTCATCTTTCTCTTGTGGCGCAGTTAGTGGTTTCAAACTGCTGACCTTGAGGTTAGCAGCCCAATGCATAAATCTATCAGAGCTTCTAGAAAGAATTAAACATTCAAATAAATTGTGTTTTTCCCGACTGAGGGTGACTTTCTGCATTTCAGCTTTCTTTGTCCTATGTGGAGCAATGGTTGGAAAACACACGATAGCCAGATCATTTCTTTTAAATTAAAGATCAACAAAACTAATGCAACAAGCAACTGTTTATTTATAAAAAAAAAAAGAAAAGGACAAAAAAGAACAACAAAAAACCAAACTCAACTCGACTATATTTTATAGATTAAGTAAAAATACCAGCATTAATATATATGTATATACATACCACATATATATACATATGATATAGCAGTAAAATTACATGCTTCTTGGGATAGAAGAATTAGGACGTGTTCTCCTTCATATCGATTTTAAACTCTATCACAATTTAAAACCACTGCAAGAAAAATTGCTTCCTTTATTTTCTGTTGTCTGTCTTTAAATTTCAAGTACAGGAAGTTGTCAAACTGGGATCTACGCATGGGGACCCATCTGCTATGCACAAAGGACAACGGAGAGTTAGCTGGGGGGTCTGGCTGCTGCTTGTTGACACAGGTCTCCGTCACCCTGCAACTGAGCCGACCTTCTACCTGAGATGAGAGGGCTGATGAAGTGTGACAGTCGGTAGGATCTGGGGGGATCATCACACGGAGCAGAAGCAGATGCAGAAGGGTCGCAGAGCAACAACACTGGCCGTGAGACCACCCTCGAGGGAGCTCCTCTCTGCCCTTTCCTCACCAAACAAAACACCAAGATAGCCAGGAACAAAACAAGAACACAGACAAAACAGGGGTGAAGCACCTCTGGGGATGACCGCATGCAGTGAGGGACAGAGAGAGGTAGGTTTCCTTTGTGACAATGCCCAGCTGCCCCAGATTCCCAGCACACGCTCTCCTGCAAAAGGCACTCACATAATGTCTGTTTATAAATCATACCGTGGGGTTCCAGATGTGGGCGGCGGTTCTCCTTACAAGTATAAAATAGAAACGCACAGGAGACAGATAGTGCCCCAAAGAAAATAACGGATAAGGAAGACACACTTTGGATCAATGTGTGCTTTTTTTTTTTCTTCTTTCTCTTTAAGAGGACAATCAATAAATTAAAAAAAAAAAAAAAAAGAAGAAGAAGAAAGAAAGAAAAACTATTGAAAAGTTAAGAATCCTGGTAAAAGGATCAGGAAGAAGCCAGGTGCTGGGGCGCGAGACATGGAGCCCGGACCACTGAGTGGACATTTACTAGGTGTCCAAGGGCCTGGGAACGGGGAAGGCCACTCACCTAGGAGAAACGGAATGAGTGAGAGCTCGGGAGGTAGTGGCCTCGGAGCAGGTGAAGAGGGGGGCAGGGGAGCGGGGTGCCCAGAGGTGTCCCTGGGCAAGGGAGGCTGCAGCCCTTCTGCCAGGCCTTCATCGTGACACCACGGAGCTGATGGAGTTATAGGACGTGCCACTGTTGCAGCTGGAGGCATAGGCCTCCTGGCCGCTGACTTCCAGGTTGATCTTGAACACAGAGGACGCCTTCAGTAAGAAGTCGGCCGCATCCCGGCGGCCCAGCTCCCTGAGTTTGGACATGAGGATGCCAACCGTGCTCTCGGGGTAAGCGGTCCATTCCCGGAGCAGGGCGTGGACTGGGCTTGGGAGGAAATCCCTGGGAGCCCCGTTGTTGGAGTTGTACTTGGCCACGAGGTCAGGGAGGCCCAGGTTCATGGCTAGGAGGCACCAGTCCTTGCCCATGGGATCAGGTGGGTCCAGCAGGCGGCTCAGTTTCCTCCGGGTCAGGAGGTTCAGATCCGAAGCGTGGATGTCCATCCCGAGGCTGGCCTGAGAGTAGACGTCATGACACCCGAAGCACATGATGCTACTGAAACTCTCCTTGTAGCCCCCCATGGTGTTCGTCAGCGAGGTCTCCTTCAGGGTCTGCGCGCGGAAGAAGTCCCGGGGCTGGTAGATCATGACGGGCTCGTGGCGCTCCCTGAGCTGCTGGGGGCTCAAGTAATGCTTCACGGTCAGCAGCCCGGGCAGCGTGGTGGCCATGAGGTTCTCGATGGTGCTGCACACCGAGTCCAGCAGGAGGCAGCACTTGATCTTGTCCGTCTCCAGACCACGGACCTGGACCTCCACGCCCTGGCCGTGGTTGACCAGAAGCACCAGCAGCTCCGCCCCGCGGTTGGCGATCTTGCAGCCGTTCACCCACAGGCGGATGTCGGCATCACCCTCGGTGCTCTGCTGGTGGATCCACCGGCAGAGGTTGACCTGGATTTTGTGGAAGATGCCACAGGGGAAGGGAGTGAGGTGCTCCACTGGGACGATGCGCACGCCACCGTAGACCATCACTTCATCCTCTTCGTCGGTCCAGGAACGGTGCAGGTTGTCCGTCTTGATCAGGGAGGGTATGTCCACCATGGTGCCGCTGCTCAGGTCCCGGGCGCAGATGTCCATGGCGTCGAGGATCTGAAGCAGCTCCTCCACGTCACTGTCAGGGACCAGGCGCTGGATGTCCTCCACGGTGTAGCGGCCCCTGTAGTGGTGCAGGGCCCGGGGCGTCTCGACGGAGAGCAGCTTCCCCAGGACTGTGGTGCAGAGCCAGCGGGGGTCCAGCAGCAGCACGTCCTGGACCGTTTCACTCTGCATGATGTTGATCTGCGGGGGTGGGGGAGACAAGAGGCGAGTAATAACTGTTATGGAAACGGATCTCAACCATCGAACTGGGAATCCCAAATATCAGCGTGTGAAAGTCAATAGGAGATATCTGGACAAAGCCTACTTCTGACTCTGCCCAGGATAGGGCAATGCAATGAGAAATCCAATAAACGAAAATGGCATGCAAGTTTGAAAAAGTTGGTGAAACAGTTATGGACACTTGAGTCTGAACTGAATTTAAGGGCATGCCTGCTAATTTTCATAGGTGACAATGACATTGGGATAAGAAAGATAAATATGCATAATGGAACAACGGCGGAAATGTGGGTGGTGGGTCTGTCTATTGGTGCTCATTGTTCTAATCTTTCAACTTTTCCACTTGTTTGGAAACTTTCTGAATAAAAAGCTTGGGGGGAAAGGGAACGGTGACTTTTTTAAAGGACACAAAGCCCGTAAGAGCCCCCAGTAAAACGATTTATAAAATACTACTACTAATAAAGGGGACAAAAGAGGCATGAGCACAAATGCAATGCAGGCGGTCTCTGGGTTAAGGATGAGCTCTGTTCCTAACGGTGTCTCTAAGAATGTACAGAAACAAGGTGACTGTGACGGGGAATTTGTTGGGTAGCAGTAGGTTCAATCATTTCAAAGCGAGGGCACGCTTGCGTGACACTGAAGGGCAAGGATGAGTTCCTCAGAAGTCGGATGCTCTTAACGCTGTGCTGGGGAAAGGTCACTAGGCTTTGGCTCCTGCAGAGCCTCCGGTGGGTTCAGATTTACGCCCTTTTAGTTTGCCCCTGAGT